GTTTCGGTTTTAAGGGTGGGATATGGCGTGAATTTACTGAGTACAGAGGAATAACACCTGAGTCCTCAGGAATGGCAACGCATGGGGGGTATCGTGGGCGAAACAGTATACTCGGTTATGTCCATGGTACTGCTCATGTCTATAGGCGACGGTTAGCACTTTCCATCAGGTGGGTCGTCAGCTTATTTGCCATTCTAAGTAGTATAAAAAAAATAAAAAATAAAGTATCAGTCGCCTCTACGGTTAGATCTCTCGTTTCGTCCAGATCGATCCGTTTCATTCGCACCCCGAACACTGGTATCCTTATTTATTTTATTCCCTGTTCAATCGCATCAAGGAAAAAAATAAAATTTGTTGCATATACTTAAGATCAGAATAAATTATAATTTGAAAAAGTTGTTTAATTAAACCCAATGTCGCTTTAAGGAAATTTATTTATAATGGAATTTATACTTTTATTAATTTCCATTTTTCCCATAAGGTTGTCTGGGAAATGATGTTTTTAACATTAAATCTGCCTTTTAAATAAACTCAAATGAAGTTATTAATAATTTTTTTTAATTAAGCCAAGCAAAGGGAAGATTTGTAAATTTTAACAAGTCTCTTATTGTATTTTATTTTAATTTTAAGGGTTTTTGCCTTCTTCAGGTATATCAGTCCTATCGTACCCTGAACAGATTTTTTAAATAAAGCTTTATCTACTTTCCCTAGACGCGGAAAGAGAAGAGAGGGCATCAATAATTTACAGAGATGTACAAAAAGTTCTGATTTGAGTTCAGCTAACATATATTGAATAAGACCAATATTTAATTTATTTATATTAAAATGGTGCATGAATTTTTCTCTTTCTTTCACTATATAATACTCTAACACTATGTGTTACACATCATCGACGGTATCACAAACTAGACAATAAGGTTACCAGGGATTTCCCATCATATGTGCATTTTTTTTTAATGGATAATGACCAGATCGTAGTCGAACAGCTAATTTAATATTATATCTATTAATTTTGGTTTCACAAAACCAAGGAATGTGTGAAGATTCAGCCTCAGAATAATTTTATACCAAATACCATTTTCTTTTGTAGTTTTGTTAAAATATTACATTCATCTTATGGGGATGTTGGTGGTGGAATGGTTTAACACACCGTCTCACTTCTTAATCGTTTTGAACTCGAGTCTAGTCTAGAGAATAAACATTTCTGTTCTAATATTTATTTATACTTTATTATACATACTAATAATACATAAAACTATTACAGAGGTAATCAAATGTACAAAGGCGATCTTAATTCTCTTTTAGCAAACCCAAAGTGGAAATTAGTAATAATAAATACGATTAGATTACAGAAATTTGTACAATTGTCACTTAAACACTTTTTAAGGAATTTTAGTCTAAATTTTGAATCCCAAAATCTGAGAACTGGAAGCTTAAGCGTTAAGATTCATATAGTTACAACAAGCAAAGAAAACCAAAGACTAGACTAAGCTGGTATATAATATGATTAACTAAACTTTATTAACTTATTGGATTTATATGTAGAAGCATAAAAACAAACAAAACAGTATACACATTAATAGCACTCTTCCTCTCACTTTAAACATACACACAGTCACACTGTTCACCTTCTCACACACCACACACTGAACGTTACAGATTTAAAAATTTATTTAACTGTAATTTTCTAGTTAAACAATAATTTCTTTTTTTTTTCCTTATTTATCATCATGTTTATTATGTTTGTAGCTTAATATTGTTAGTTCTGCATCTACAAATACAAAGTTAGTTCTTGTGTGTTGGAAGGAACTGGCTTACAAGGCACAGGTTACCCTAATTTGTAAGCTAGGGCAAGAAACATGTAACTGTGTAACCCTGTATTTGTTAATAAAGTTTATTATTATTATTATTACAAATGCACAATCTTTCGCATTAAATATTAATACGAGAAAAAATTAAATAATCTTTAATAACTAGAAGTTATTTCCATTTGTTAATGGATGTATAAATTAGGTAGAGACCTGGCCACAGCTGCGCGGCGCGGCCGTGAGACCATCAGATTGCCTTGTTCACATTTAATGATCCTTATTTTCTTTTCTGTGTTCTCTTATTAATCAATTTGAAGTTTTATTAATAATTTGGTATAATAAATTAATTAATCATCAGCGTAGTCGTGAATATATGGAAACAGTGTAAAATTTATCCAGCTAAATACCAGAGTCTCCTTCGTGTTTCGGCTGACAACATCGGATGATGCATTCATTTGAGTTAGTACTGTACTTTACTTTAGTACTACTACTTTTTTAGTACTAGTACTTTTTAAAAAGTTGATAAAGCAACATTTATTAAATAAGCAAAAATTTGGATTAGTCGCCTGGTAGCGTCTGCTTTTAACATAATTACTGTGGTGAATTATTATTTGTATATGTTAAATATTATGTTTAATTAATTAGTGAAATATATTATTTATATAAGTATATCATCTATATAAGTATGTATCTATATAATATAATTTTACCTTTTGCTATTAAATTGGTTACACAGGTTACACTCTGGGTTTGTTACACGCGTCCGTGTAGCTTTACTTCAGGTTGCAGCTGAAAATCAGTGCTTTGCTTTTAAGCAAAAGTATCACTGAGCTGTAGCCTTTTTGGGTCACTGCGACACACCTGGTGAAAACATATCTCCAATATTCATTTTTTGTTTTATATGTTGTTTTATATTTGAAAAAATGTAAATAATCAGATTGTATCATTTTATTTATTAATTTACGTGTGTCATAAATGGCTCAAATAAAGTGTTTATCTATCTATCTATCTATTTATCTACTGTGAAATTGCAAATTTGATATGCAAGCATATAAAGTATCTATATAAATGGCTTTGTATAAAATCGCCGCAATAAAGAGCTTTTAGTATGTGGTTCCTACAGGCCATCCCTTCCATTCCCGTGGGTGTTGTAAGAGGCGGCTAAGGGAACTTAATGATCGAGGGATGAACAGCAGCGTCCTTCTTGAAACATCGCCAAGACCTAATTCAGGTATATATCCATAGTTTACAGTCGTTGCGATTATAATTTACTTTTAATTAATTACGAGTCTTTACATTTTTATATAATACGTATAAACTATTGTTATATTATTAAACTATACAATAATTTAATTAATACCAATTTAAATTATTTTTATTATAAAATCTTTTGTCGTGAGGTATTGCAGTGAGGAATACTGAACAATACAATACGATTACTTATATATATATATCAATATAGTAATACCATATATATATATATATATATATATATATATATATATATATATATATATATATATATATATATATATATATATTACTTAAAGTTGTCCATAGCAGGAACGTATTCGGTATCAGAGAAATGGTAACATCACACGCGATGAGAAATCATAATTACTCAGCCTTTAGTTTCTAGCTCCTCTAATCTATGCCAGGACAGACGGCCAGTATAAATATTGCGGGGGGAAAGGGATTGTTAGTAATTAGGTTAAATAGCCCCATTACTAGCAATATACCCTGTCAGGTCGACCTCCACGTGGTTCCCCCTAGAAACCATCGTGACTAATTCTAATTGAATTCATCAGGATAGGCTAACTGACCTGATTTCATCCTCATCAATTATCAATCACTGGTGCCCCGCCAGTGTATACCGATAGCATGGGTGGGGTTACCATACCATTATCATCCATTAAAAAAAATATATATTAATATTGCAACTGCATTATATAGACATTGCTATAAATTACCCATCTCTACTTACAGCCTTATTCCGAACAATAAATACCCTATCTCAGTAAAAACTAAACACTCTGAAATATTATATTTTATATTCCAGAAACTTCGCCCAATAGACGAATAGATGAAACTCACTCAATTTTATATTAATAAATGTTAATACAAGCAAATCACGTACCGAGGCATCGATACGCTCCGAATTAGTGAATAACTACCAGTCACCGCTGAGATCAATAGGGGCTTAATAACAAATTCGGTACCTTCAGTGCCATCGGTGAATGGAGCGCAGATTTCGGGTTGGTGCGCATTTGTATTGTAGTTTGCTTTCTTGTAAAGCCAATGATGGTAACTGAAAGGTCATTCTCCAAAGACGAAGGTCAATTTACATAAAGTTTTGGTTTTGGGATGGTGGTTTTGGGAGAGATCAGAATGATCTGTCATTTATATTGTAATAAATGAAAAAAGGTAAATAAAAAATATAATAAAAAAAAGTAAAAATTATAAATTATATCATTTCTAAATGTATTGATTTACTAATTAAGAGGTAAACGAACATGCAGCTCACCTGATGGTAAGTGACTACCGCTGCCAGTGACGTAGCTAGGTAACCAAAGGCCCTGTGACAAAAAAGGGGAGTTCCCCGCAAATTTCAAAAATGTTCGAGACTTGTTGGGGATTCCCCTGTAAATTTTTAAATCAGTTGTCATTATCAAAGTCGCGTTCTTGGAATCTGGTTTATTTGTTCAACTTATAGTTTGTAAGTTTGAGTCCGAGGGGCCCCCTGAATTTAAGGGTCCAAGCTCTCCAGTAGCTACGCCCCTGACGTCCGCCCATGATCACCCGCTACACCATAGGCATTGCAGGTGTGCTGCAGGCCTTTGTTGTGAAGTGAATTGCGCTGCGAACTGATGCGTGTAACAATGACTGACGTACTTACGTATAGCAAGTAGACTTCCTTACAAATGGCGTACGCTATCTTATTTAAACTTATTTTTTAATCACTCTCTTTTTTATTTTTTTGAAACTAGCGATTCGCTTTAGCCTCGCATCTAAATAAAAAATAATATATAGCGAAAGTTATTCGTTGTAAAATAGTTTACAAACTACACGTACGTATTACAAACAAATAAACACACAAATCAGATCTTTAATAAATAAACTCAAAAACTATTTTAGAGGCTTTTTTAAATTATATCACCTATAGTAAGTTGAATTATCAACGAATAATATTCGCTATAATGTTACATAGTCGTCGACAACTTCGAGCATAGCGTTCTCAATTATATCCGGTATAGGTGTGACATGGACGTTAGACATGATTTCAATCTTGTTCGTGTTCATCCTAAAGCCTTCTATTGAACATTCTATTGAACATTCTATTGAACCTTCTATTGAACATTCTATTAAACCTTCTATTGAACCTTCTATTGAACCTTCTATTGAACCTTCTATTGAACCTTCTATTGAACCTTCTATTGAACCTTCTATTGAACATTCTATTGAATATTCTATTGAACTTTCTATTGAACCTTCTATTGAACATTCTATTGAAGCTTCTATTGAACATTCTATTGAAGCTTCTATTGAACATTCTATTGAACCTTCTATTGAACCTTCTATTGAACCTTCTATTGAACCTTCTTCTGAACATTCTATTGAACCTTCTATTGAACATTCTATTGAACCTTCTATTGAACCTTCTATTGAACCTTCTATTGAACCTTCTATTGAACCCTCTATTGAACCTTCTATTGAACCTTCTATTGAACCTTCTATTGAACATTCTATTGAACCTTCTATTGAACCTTCTATTGAACCTTCTATTTAACCTTCTATTGAACCTTCTATTGAACCTTCTTTTGAACCTTCTTTTGAACGTTCTATTGACCCTTCTATTGAACCTTCTATTGAACATTCTATTGAACGTTCTATTTAACCTTCTATTTAACCTTCTATTGAACCTTCCATTAAACCTTCTATTGAACCTTCTATTGAACCTTCTATTGAACCTTCTATTGAACCTTCTATTGAACCTTCTATTGAACCTTCTATTGAACCTTCTATTGAACCTTCTATTGAACCTTCTATTGAACCTTCTATTGAACATTCTATTGAAGATTCTATTGAACCTTCTATTTAACCTTCTATTTAACCTTCTATTGAACCTTCCATTGAACCTTCTATTGAACCTTCTATTGAACATTCTATTGAACACTATCGAGGTCATTGAGCATAGTATTTAAGTCCTCCAGGGATTCCGGCATGATTACTATATTATCGGCAAATCTAAGGTGAGTGATGTATTCGCCATTGATGTTTATACTATATGTTTTCCAATCCTAAAGGTTTGAAACTCCCAATGTAGATGTGAAGAGTTTTGGAAACACGATGTCACCCTGTCTTGCTCCTTTCTGCACTGGGTTGGGTTTCGTACTCTGGTTCTGTACTCGGATAGACATCGTAGCCTTACTGTACAAACACTTCAGCACTTCAATATACGTATAGTCAATCTGGCACCGCTGGACGGACTGTACCGCCCATGTCTCGACGGAATCAAAAGCTTTCTCCTTATAATAAATTTTATTAAAGTAACTCTATTGCTTACTAGCTTTCGGCCACTAGCTCGTACGCTTGCACTACAGTAGGAAAACCAATTTGATTACTTCTAGAAAGCGTATCAAGACAAAATACATATATACTAGAATTTAAGTTAGAACTTTAGAAACTCAACTATGATAAACGCATCCGATTTGATACAGTACTTTTTGTGTTTTTTTTTTTACTCTTTTATTAATTTTATTTTGTATATTTTATTTTGTATTCTTTTGCCATTCCTGAGAACTCAGGTGTTATTCCTTTGTACCCTGTAAATTCACTGTTATATCCCAGCCTTCAAACCCAAACACAGTCAAACAAACACAACTGCTGGAGGGGAAAAGGGATTGTTAGTAATGGGGATCGGTAGCCTCATTGTTAGCAATAAATCCTGTTAGGTCGACCTCCTCGCGGTTCCCCTTAGAAACCATCGTGCCCAGTTCCAAGTAAATTTATTGCAATGGGCTAACAGACCTGCCATTTTATCTTCACCTATCATTCTTCACTGGTGCCCGCCAGCATATACTGTTAGCAAGGGCAAGGTTACTATTCCATTATCATCCATTTTAAAAAAAACACAACTGCTTCACGTTTGAAACACGAATAAGACAAAGGTGCCCAAGCAAACGATTTTTGTATAAAGTCTCTGGTAATTTATAATTTATGTAAATATTTATTTTAACTTCTATTTTGCACTACTACTGCCCACTCACTACTTCCTATGCCACTGTGTTAGGTTGACTGGAAGAAATCTCTTATAGAGATAAGTTCGCCTTTGCTAACATTGTTATTAACTTATTGTTGTTACTGTATGTTTTAGTGCAATAAAGAATATATATATATTAACATAAGAATACTTACAAATGCAATGCCCACACAAAGAGTTCCAGCTCAGTAAGTCTATTATTCTACATTGAGTGGAGCGAGTCCTCGCCGATCGGAGTTTTGCATACTGTACGTAACAGTCGCCGCGGCCGCGCGAATGAGATGGCCACAGTTTATTATGCAGTAGTGAAACTTCGTTACGCCATCCAGTCGCCGCCAGGAAAAGTTGCTTAGAAAACGAGATACGTAGCGAGTCACGGCTCGCATTGAATTTCCTCTCTTACCGTATTTATATATACATATATATATATATATACATACAGTTCCGCTCCGATATCTATATATTGGGTTCCTCTGTACATTGATGGGACACAAGATCTCGTCACCCATTTTAATATAGCCCATACATATATATATAGATATGGCTATACATATTTCTTTGTCGTTTGCTTGGGTTCCTCTGTCAAATTCATGTTTCTGCCACGAAACAGTTGTGTTTGTATATGTGTTTCAGTTTGAAGAATATGGAAGTAAAATTACAGAATACAGAGTTCACCTAGTCCTCAGGAATAGCAACCCATAAGAGGTACCATGGACGACACAGTATACTCTGTTATGTTCATGGTACTGTTGATCTTTATAAGCAACGGTTACCACTTTCCTTCAGGTGGCCTTTTAATATAAATTCTAGCATCACATTTGATATACCCACTCCATCTAGTGGCTACTTTATACAGACAAACGTAGTATAAGACAGCCGCTCGCTAGACGGAGCGACATTCTCAAATGTTTTGAAAGAAATCCGGTGACATGGGACCAGAATTATTACTTACGGCGATCTATAGGAGAGCCCTACGATGTTCATCGATGGAAACTTATCACCTGAATTGTTGATGATGAAAAGAAAGGTAGGTTCTATAAAACATTTAAAATACATTAACAAAGTATAAAGCTAAAGTGAAACTGGTTACCATATTGTAACTTTTTGTTAACTTTTCAACTAGTGCTCCAACTATGTTTTTGTACTATGTTCATACAGCAATCTGAAACTGGGAATGTTCATACATAAATTTAGTTTGCACAACACAATTTTACCTAACTTTCTAAAGTAATAGATATAATAATACAATAAAGTTTAAACTTTCAAACCACTATTAGGGAGTATAACAAAATTTCGCTTTGAAATCTCGTATGTTGGTATTTATTATAAGCGATTATATAAGCCTCCTCCTTGGGGGTTTTGCCAGTAGGCAAATACTGGCATGTTTGGCAGGCGAATTGGCAATCGCAATTAGGCTTTGGAGATATTTTTAGAGAGACGCTGCTACCCATCCCTCGCCTTCCCTTAGTCGTCTTTTACGACTCTGACGGTCAAGGAAAGCGTGGCCTATTCTATACCGGGACCGCACGCTGTGTTTTGTTTATTTTAGATATAGTAGCATCTACGAATATATATTATAAAATTAATTTATTATATACGTTAACTTTAAGGGAAACACATTCTATTCAACGAAAAACGTCTGCTGTATCAAATCGCAGCTCATGATCGTAACAGCAAATAAACACAAATGTATGCCGGTAAGAAAATCAGTGAAACAAATAAAAAAAAAAACTTCACATTCATTACAATGTGTTTCTCCTAGAATTCCTCATAGATGCCTCACCATCGTATTCTGTTAACGCAAACGGTGTTACCATTCCGTAATCATACCTTTAAAAAAAAGATCACTTCTACGTAAGACATGACCGGTTGCCTTTCAAATCCTTCTTGATAATATTGTTGCCGATTCCTCTTGTTTTTTCTAAAGGTATAATGACAAAAAATAACTGTATAATCGCAAACTACTAAGACAAGCCAAGTTAACCATTTATTCATGGAGGAAACTTATTGGTACTTCTAAATTACGAAATTCGGCAAGTATTTCATCACTTCAACTCCCATTGTTGCGAGCCGCCCTTTGTCAGTCTATTGTTTATGTAAAGCAATATAATCCCTCGTAAACATTCTATTTAGCTCATCGAACTGGTTCTTCGGCGAAATACTTAACAGGCATTGTATTATGTTAAATGATTGATGATGATTGATGATGATTGATGATGATTGAATGATCAAATTACACATGCTACGGCCGGAGTGTAGGCGTATGAACAGCAGCTGTCCAATTTCGTATGATTAAATTATTTGTCGGAGAGACTTCGTCCTGAACGCGGGTGCTTCGAGCTCAGTTGTTACAGCAATGTAAAAGATCCCATGCAAGTTGTATCTTGTTTTAAAAGGTGAAATTACTAAGAACTGTGATTTGAGGTTTTCACAGCATATAGATTGACAAATTGCGATGCCTTCTGATATATTGTCGGTAGTTATTTGACTAGAATTAATTTGTATACTTCCACAACCATTAGCAACATGCGACTGCCAACTTCTTTTTCTTTCAATCCTTAATCTGAAGACTATTTAGGGTTGGATCATCCTATACAGTGACGCCAGGATGCTCCGTCCTGGGTCGTCGTAGGAGCTAAGTTCCGTGCTGTCGTCTATTTCTTGATATTTTTATTTTGTTTATTCATTAAAAATAATTACAATATTATGACAGCAAAAGCCAAATCAATGTTATAAGTCTAGTGTGCTAACATACAAAGTTATAATAAATGTATTTAACCCGACTCTAGATATTCCTGAGCCGCTTCTATTTATTTATTTATTTCTTATTGCATTCCATAATGTACTTAGTAGATAACATTTCAATTATGGACCCTGTTGGGCATAGCGAGTAGGAGAGAGGAGGACAACACTTGTCTGAGCCGCTTCTAATATCTTTGGCAGGCTACTACTAAATACATAAATGATGTTTATAATATTATTAAATAACCGTACTGCGTGAGTTCAGGGAGCATGCTGAGATAGGTTAGTATTGGATCACCATGTAGTGGGAGATCTTCCTTTTCCTGGAGAAAGTGTCCTGTGTCGTAAGAATATTCATGAGAATTTTTACAGAAAAACTATAATCCATTCTTAAGATGTGGCTGTACCAGCTACATCTTAAGGGTGGGATATGGCGTAAATTTACTGGGTACAGAGGAATAACACCTAAGTCCTCAGGAACGGCAACGCATGGGGGGTATCACGGGAGAAACGGTATACTCTGTTATGTCCATGTCTATAGGCGACGGTTACCACTTTCCATCAGGTGGGCCGTCTGCTTGTTTGCTATTTTAAGTTGTATAAAAAAAAAACTAATAATTCTTTTCGCTCAATTCGAGGTTAGTTACAAAAATTATATATGTACTCACTATCTATCACATTTAAGAGCTGCGCTCTTGTCGGTGGAGCTCTTGCCACTCACCACGATTTTCAGCGAGTCTCTTCACCTCTTGATACGACACGACACCAACACCTTCCTTGATCTGCCTGATGTAACTATGCCTCGGTCTCCCTCTCCCCCTCCTTTCTTCTGTCTTACCTTCTATTATAACGTTCATAAGTTCGTCGTGTCGTATCAAGTGTCCCAACATTTTTCCCCTTCTGTCCTCAACAGTTCTAATAATTTGTCTCTTTTCCTTAACCCTAAGCAGGATCTCCTCATTACTAATTCGATAATAATATATGTGTGTATAAAATTCAGCTAACATCAAGTAGCACTATTGTAGTGCCGCTGAGTCCCGGGGCGCTTCACATTGTCGTATATCCTCTAGGTAAATAGAATTTGCCGCGGCACTCCGCAAACGACATTGTGGAGTCGAACTGTTGTATTGAAGTTAGAGAAAATCTACGAACACGCGACGTCTTGGCAACTAGAACCGACTGGATCAGTAAATGGACAAGGACCTTCAGTTTTGATAAAAAAAAATACATGGACTTTATTAATAAAAAAGTAACTTTACCTCTACTATTGTGAAAGATGTAAAACTCAAAATTGATTATTTGTCGCCGAATTTTAGAATGCACGAGCAGGGCAAATCTACCGGCGTTATTTAAATTAATTGATATTTGCTATTTTTTTTTTATGGGTGAAAATGGTATGGTAACCCCGCCTGAGCT